GGGCAGGATTTGCAGAAGTAAGGGGTGAGGAGGGGAAAGAAGTCATGACTTCCCTGGGGAATTTTGTGCTTTAGGGGGGTCTCTGGAAGCGCCCTCCTCACCACATGCTACCTGAAGTCGGGGCAAGACTGGGGCAGAAGAAGCAGGGGGGTTTGTACCTGGGTCTCTTGTCTCCCCCCAGGGTCGAGGAGCAGCAAGAATGGGGTGGCTGGAGGAAAGACTTGGCCTGGGGCTCGGAGGAGGTAGCAAGCCATCAAGAAGTAGAGAGAAGAAAGGGAAAGGAGAAAAAGACCAGCCTAATGTTCAAGTCCTGAGGAACAGAAAGCAAGGAGAACGTAGTCTCCAGTTTTCAGCCAAGTCCTTGCTTTGGAGAAGAATATTGGAAGGGGATGGGAAAAAGGCAAGTGCAGACTGGAACAAAGAGGAAAGGGCAGGGAATCCTTGGTGCTCTAGTGCTTAGCTTTGGAAGGCCAGCAGGGTATGTTGCCAGGCCCTGGGTCATCCTTGGAGCCAGAGCTGGCCCTCCTGGTCATCCTCCTGGATATCCAGGGGACGCTGGACCTAAGGCTCACATCTTGGCTGAGCAACAGTAAACATAGTCTTAGAACATAAAACCTTCAACTCTCAGCCTTGGAAGGGACCTCTCAGACCTTCAACTCCTGCCCTAGCATGGCAACTCAACTTGGTGCCCAGCTCTGCTATCCTACCAGCTCTGGGTAGGCTGGGGGCTGGGTCTGTGCCAGGCCTCTTCGCCTGCCTGTGGGCAGTGGTAGGCCGTCTTGCCAGGCAGCCTGTAGCAGGCAATGGAAGCAGGCATGGAACATGGAGCCAGGTAGCCCAAGTGGGGCCTGGTCTTCTGCCTCTGCCCTGGGCTTGGCTGCTAAGGCTCTATCTGGTGCAGGTTCCATCTCGGGGGGGGGGGGGCCCTGGCTGTCCAGACTCCTCAGACCATGGCCCAGGGGTCCCCCTCTTCTTCGTTTTGGCCTTGGAGCCCTGGGGCTCCAAGTTGGCTGAGACTGGGCTGATTTCTTCTCAGAACTTGGGGCCTTCTGAGGGAGCCACTTCTGCCTTAGCTTGGGAGCTCTGCCTGTTATGTTGTCTTGGAGGCATGGCCACCAGGCTGTGAACAGGAACCGAGCTGTCTGCGGATACAGTCGCTCCACTGTAGGCCCAGCAGGTCTGGGTAGATGTCTGGGAGCTGCCGGAGGGCCAGGAGCTTAAGCATGCAGGAGGTGCAGCTGTCGAGGGCACAGTCCGATAGTGCCGGCTCCTCTGACAGTGTGGTAGGGCGTAGCTCGACCTGATGCTCCTGGAGCACGTGGTCCACTGAGGACCCGGGTAACCAGGGGAACAACTTTTCCTTGACCAGGTAGATGGGCACAAAGATAGCTCCAGCACGCACCACATGGGGAAACGGACACTTGTGGGTGAAAAGGAATGTCTCTAGCTGGGCCGGCAGCTCTGCTAAGAGCCCCTTCACACCCACACAGCTCAGCCACATGTCCTGGGCCCATCCCTCAGCACTCGGGGCCTGCTCTGACCCTTGGCTGGGGAGGACGATGGAGGTAGTGAGAGAGATTGACTCTCTTTGGCCTCCTCCAGCCATTCCCAGAGTCTTTCTGGTGAGGTGTGGGCCACAAAGCCAGAGATGGCATCACACAGGGACATGTGGAGGCCTGTGAAATGTTGCTCAGTGCTGCCCACTTGGGTTGGAGCATCCTCCAGGCCCCTGCTGGCATTGCCTACAACGGGGGCTGGCTCAGACACAACAGGAGGTGCGGGAGGCATAGGCTCTGGCAGAGTCACATTGAAGCAGGTTACCTGCAAGGGCTGTGTGAGGAGCTGGAGGTTGGCTGACTAGGCAGGAACAGGGACAGGGACAGGGGCAGGGGCAGGAGCAGGGACAGGTACAGGGGCAGGGGCAAGGGAGGGGGCAGGGGCAATGGTGGTGGGAGGCGCTGGCCGGAGGATCTTGAACTTGCAGAACATGAAGGCCACAGAACTGTGGAAGCTAGTCCTTGGGGCAGTCTCAACCATGGTGGGTACCGGGGAGGGGGAGCAGGCAGCTTGGGCTGCTCCTCCTGGACGGCCTGGTGAGTTTCTGCACATGGCACAGGCTCAGTGAGCAACCCCTGACTTAGAGCCCCCTTAGAAAGCTCAGCCAACTGTTTCTTGAGGCTCTAATCCAGTGCCACTTCCTCCATGGGTGGGCATTGGCTGCTAGCATCAGTCCCAGGCTCCACTTGCCCATTGCTTCCTTGGGCAGTTCACTGAACGCCTCAGGATCTGCAGCTGGGCAAGGCCCCAGGGAGCATGCGGTGCTGAGGGACTGGGCCTTGGGCAGGGGGAGGTCAGGCATCTTTTCACATCTTTTGTCCAGGTAGTCCCTGTAGGGCACCAAGCTGAAGATGTTGTTGATGACGGGCATGGGTGGGGAGCAGGGGGGCGCAGTGCCCTCGGTCTGCCTGAGGCCTTGCGGGTGCTCCCTGGGCGAAGGTGGCAGATTCCGGGGACCACTGCCAGGTGGAGTCCTGGGAGCGGGGCTGTCTGGGATGACAACAGGTGTAGGGGAAGGTTCCTCCACCCCAGGCCTGGGTCTGGCTTCTTCCTTACCGAAGCTGTACAATCGCTTCTTGTCCTCCGATTCTTGCCTGGGCTTCTCAGCCTTCTCAGGGTGGGAGACCGGACAAGAGGCCTCCCTTCGGGAACCAGTATTTGGGTTTGGCCCTCCACTTCCTGCGTGCGGACACATAAGTTGGAATGCACTGTCATGATTGGCTCCCAGCTTGCCCTGGGGAGCATCCTGGGCAGGTGACACCCCTCCAGCCCCCAGGGCCAGACCATAAAGGGACAGGTTGTCCCGAGGGGCAAAGGCATAACCTGGCATCTGAGGGATGAAGTCCAGCTGGCACTTGGGGGTAGGTGGCAGCTCAGGTTCATGGGAGGCAGCTGTCCCAGCCTTCAGGCCAGGTGAGCTCACCTGAATGGGGCCTGTGGGGTAGGCACAGCCTTCCAGCTTGGAGGAGGGGACACAGGGCCCATGGGTCATCTGCTGCTGTAGGTAGGTCCCGGGTAACCCACTTCCCCTATAGTTGAAACCCTTGTAGGGGTTGGGAGATTGCAGAGAAAGCACAGAGCTGTTAGGTTTCTCTGGGGGTGGATATCCTGGTGGGTATAGCAGAGGCTGCTCATGCAGTGCCAAGGGGTAGTGGGAGGGTACCCGCTCCTGGTAGGTGGGGGTTGTGGCAGCTTTGTCCAGGAGCCTGGGAGCCCCTTAGCTGCTTTCTTGTGCCCTTCATATGGTGGAGGATATTTGGAGTCTAGGAAGAGGGCACTCCAGATGGCACGGTACTTGTCCAAGGCCACCTGGTAGGAAGAAAGGTTGGCCACGGACCCCTTGCCTGGTGCCCCGGTTTGAGGCAAAGGGAGGAAGGTAGCTTCCAGGTGCTGACTCTTGCTGGGTGCTGAGGCCAATGAGCAGTGGGAGTTTCCTTGAGGCAATAAAGGTGCAGCAACTGTCCAGTCCATGTCCAGTGGCCTCTTGGTCCCACTCTCAGCCCCTGGGGTCCCCAGTGTCAAACATGACGGCGGCCCATAGCCTGGATCCATGTAACACATGGGCTTCCGATATATAGGCTTGGGTGCTGCCAGCGGGTCACAACCCGGTGGCCCTGGCCTCTTCATGCCCAGGTATGGAGAAGCCCGGGTAGCCTGCAGTGGGGGATCACAGTGGTCTGGATGTCCTGCCCACTTCTCTTGGGCCGGGTGCAGATTCCTCATTGTGTGGTCCCGGCCTTTCTCCACCAGCTGAACGCTCTCTGATTCCCGTTGGTACAACAGACAGTTCATGAGCATGCTGTCCGTGCTCAGGGACTGCCCAGCCATGACACCCCCACAGGACATGTGGGGATTCCATCCAGCCAAACTGTCATGGCCCTCTTCGAGGCTCCCCACGGGGTAGGTGAAATAGGTTCCCTTGTAACCCAAGTGGCCCTCACTGCCTGGGCCAGGCAAGGATCCTGACTTGCAGATCCCCACGGGTTGCCTGTGCCCAGCATCTGCCTCGAGGAGGGCCAACTTATTGTATATCACGGGGTCCAGAGGCCCAGGTGGCCGCCTTCCTGTCATCACTGCATAGGGCCTAAGCCTACTGAGGACCAGCCACTCTGTTGCTTTTTGGCTCGTCGCTGCTGCTCCCTCTAGTTGGACTGCATTCCGCAGGCAGGGGAGAGGGTCTGGGCTGGAGAGGGGGGGATTCGGTGGGAAGCCAGAGGGCCCCGAGGGGTGGCCGCAGCCGGGAGCAGACCTCAGCAGCCTGTTTGCTCATTTTCCCAGCATATTTCTTGACTTTGAATTTTATTTTAAAGTTGAACACTTCTCATCCGGAAGTGAAGATGGATGCATTGTCTGAAGCTTCAGGCTTTTCTGTGACGCTATTTTCAGAGCTAGCTCTGGGGTCCTGCAGGTTTTCAGTGTTTCCAAGGTGGTGTGATCCAGGGACGGATGTGGTCACTATTCTCCTGGTCTTCACATTGGTCTTTCTCAGGAACAGATCATTCATACTCTGCAGCCACAAGTGCTAGTGCTCCTCTCTGTCCTGGAAGTGACCCAGAACTGTATATGGACAAGAGAGTTGCCAAATAGCAAGGTGCACCCAGTGCCAGCAAAGGGTCCCCTCTAATATCTTTCTGAGCAGTTGTCCAATTCCTCTGCTGTCCCTGGGCAGAGAGATTCCTGAGATGCTGCTGCTGACATTAGCTAGATCACTTCCAAAGCCTGTGCTGGTGTTGCAGTCACATGTGCTCTGGGCTGGGTCCCCAACCCAGTGTCACAGGCCTTCCTGCCTACCTCTTAAGTTGTCTTTGACTGCAAAAGTGTCTCATTCCAACCTTTTGTTGGTTCTGCTGCTCCAATATTTCATTTGAGGTGCTATTTTAAAGTTGTTTGGGGGAGGGGGACAAGTCAGTGGTGTAGTGGTTAGAGCACTGGGCTTGGAATCAGAAAGACTCATCTTCATGAGTTCAAATCTGGCCTCAGACACTTATTAGCTATGTTACCCTGGGTAAGTTGCTTGACCCTACTTGCCTCAGTTTCCTCATCTGCAAAATGAGCTGGAAAAGGAAATGGCAAACCACTCCAGTATGGGACAGCTAGGTGGTGCAATGAATAGAACACTGGCCCTGACCTGAATTTAAATCTGGCCCCAGACACTTACTAGCTGTGGCAAGCCATTTAATCCCAATTGCCTAAAAAAAATGAAGTTGATTGAAGGAGAATGTTGGGAGAGTTCAGATGGGTTGCTGTCTTTCCTCTGTCATTTAGGCTCCACTACTATTCCTTTTTTGCCTCAGCCCTTGGCACCTAAGATACACTTTCAATGTTTTCTGAGTTGAATTGAAAGCTTTCACCTTGTTCAAGGTCCAGATTATATACTAGGCCATCCATGAAAACTTCCCTGACCTCCAGAGATAAAGGACCTCTTCATTTTTAATCATTTGTCACCTCTTCTATATACTTAATCAAAATCTAATTTTTATTATACTTATTTGTGCACAGACATCTTACTAGATTATTGTAAATTCAAGAGCAATAGTTGTGCCGTTTTATCTCTGTCCAACATAATGCATATATTTATTAATTTTGTTGTCATTGCTTTCGATTAAATGGATTTTTATTCTCTCACATATAACTGAAACTTTAGTTTTTTAGCTTTATATTTGAATTTACCATTTAGGCAAAGCAGAAAGCATTTGACTTCATCAAACTGCTTAAATTTTGTAAAAATTAACTTTTTTTTTAATAAATCACTGAGTCCCTATTGTCACATTATATTTTCACAGAATCCTACTCCATCTAGTTATGGCATGGAAGTGATCCTGGGTTCTTGAACACTTTGCCTAAAGAGCACTAATCCTGGCAGGCACTACTAAAATGGAAAGGGTTGTGGCATAGACCAGAGATAGACTATCTTTGTTTGAGGAACAGCCCTACCTAAGTGTAGAAAGGTGCATCATCAAAAATTTGATTAATGGATGATGAATTTTTCTGGCCACAGTTAACTCATGAAGATTATAAACTAAGGCATAGAGGGGTTGCTTGAGAGGAGAAAATAACTATGTAAGTTTAATCACAGATCTCATACTTCAATATTCCAATAGATCACATTAATGTGGGTATTCACTCCAATGATATAGACCATGAGCCAGCCATGACCATGCCCATCCTACGGGATTCTCATCTATAACCTTCAATAAGCTCACTACAAAGGGTTCTACTCAACGTACTAAAGGCCTCTCACATTCTTTTGATATTCTAAAACACATAAAAGTGTCTGTTGGTTGTGCTTCAGTTACTATATGACTGGACCATCTTCTTTTTCAGTTACATATTTATTTGATGGCTTCTTTATATTGATTATCCTGCACCAGAATGAGATAGAAGGCTTACTACCTCCAGAAAGAAATGCAAACACACAGCTTTGAAAGTAACATGGAATTTATTATATACTTTTAAAAAAAACTATCCATAATAAAGAAACAAGCATTTATTATTTGTTCAGTGCCAGACACTATGCTAAGTGCTTTACAAATATTATCTCATTTTATCTTCACAATACCCCTATAAAGTTGCTTTTATTACCCACACTTTATAGTTGAAGACACTGAGGCAGAGGTTATGTGACTTGTCCAGGATCACACAGCTAATAAGTGTCTGAGGTTGGATGTGAATTCAGGAGTTCCTGATACCAAGGCCAGTGTTCTATCCAGTACACCACCTCGCTGTTGAAAATCTGAAGTTTCATATATAATCTTTTTTCTCTTCTGTATTACATATATATAGATGTCTTCATAATCAATTGTTCATTGTTCTCAATATTTCAAAACTGTGTGGTCTATTTAGCACTGACACATCTCTGCATATACTAAGTCCAGTCTAGTTTCCATCTTTCTTATTTTCACTGTTATTTCTACTTCCTAGGGGAAAACAACAACAACAACATATCCTATGATATTAGAGTCCAAATGCGGTAACTATAAGAAGAGGCTAGATGGGTCAGTGGATAGAATGCTGGGCTTGGAGTCAGGAAGACCTCAGTTCAAATCCAGCCTCAGACACTTACTAGCTCTGTGACCCTGGGTTACAGGGTCATTAACTTCTGTTTGCCTCAATCCACTGGAGAAGGAAAATGGCAGACCACTACAGTATCTTTGCCAAGAAAACCCCATGGACAGTATTGGCATGCTATGGTCCATGGATCACAAAGACTTAGATATGACTAAATGACTAAATAACAATAACAAAGTGGTAGCCACACTATTGATGTGTCACTCAACAATTATATCAGTTAATTCTCTCAGTTCCCTTGGATATAGTTAGTTTAGGCCTGATGAGTTGAGGACAAATAGATGTTCTATCATCTCTTTACTCTTCTTGCATTTAAATGACCTGTTAATCATTTTTATTTTATATTTCCTAGTCCAAAGATCATTCTCTTTGGCAGAGAAAAACAGATAGAAAATATGAATCAAGAAGTTCTACCTTCTTATTTGATTACTCACATCCTACTCAATTTTTTTTCTGAATTTCTTTCTTAAAATCCTATTCATTTTAAAATTATCCTGCACCAGAAGGAGATAGAAGGCTTACTACCTCCAGAAAGAAATACAAACACACAGCTTTGAAAGTAACATGGAATTGATTATACACCTTTAAAAAAAAGAAGAAAACTATCCATAATAAAGAAACAAGCATTTATTAATTATTTGTTCAATGCCAGACACTATGCTAAGTGCTTTACAAATATTATCTCATTTTGTCTTTGCAATACCCCTGTAAAGTTGCTTTTATTACCCACATTTTATAGTTGAAGACAGTGAAGCAGAGGTTACGTGACTTGCGCGGGATCACACAGCTAATAAGTGTCTGAGGTTGGATGTGAATTCAGGAGTTCCTGACACCAAGGCCAGTGTTCTATCCAGCACACCACTTCGCTGGTGAAAATTTTTAATCAAATTTATCTCTTACCAGATCCATTCTCAGCTTACCAATTAACAAGATAATTTCTCCTAAACTTGCTAATTTGAGCTAAAGGTAAACAGCAAATATCTTCTTATGTCTAACCAAGTTCACTATTGACAAATGTGGGAGAAGCAGCAGCAAAAAGTGTGTAGTTGGTAAATCTATGAATTGGTCTAGCCATTATGGAAAGTAATTTGGACTTCTGCCCCCAAAGTACTAAGCTGTGCATACCTTTTAACCTATATTCCCATGTGATTAAAGAAAGGAAAATGACACATATATAAAAAATATTTTAACAGCTTTTTGTGGTAGCAAAGAATTAGAAATTAAGGAGTTGCCCATTAATTAGGGAATAGCTGAACAAATTATGATATATGAATGTAATTATCAATTATTATCTCTATAGTTGATGATTCTTAAATCTAGTAACCTAGCCCTAAACTCTCTGCTGACCTTACTCACACCTACACTCACATGCCTATTGGATGTTTGAAACTGAATGTCCTAGATCCGAACTCAGAATGTCCCACACTGAACTCTTGACCTCCTCCTTAAGCCTTTTCCTTCCTAACTCGCCTGTTCCTTTTGAAGGGAACACTGTACTCCCAGTTAGTCAGGCTCACAACCTATTAATTTCCTCTCACCCCCCCTCCATATCCAATCTGTTGCTTCTTTTTCTCCTCTGACATTTCTACCACTCATCACCTTGCCTGGACTACTACAATAGCCTGCTGGTCAGTCTGCCTGTCACAAGTTTCTACCCATTCCAATCCATACACTACTCAGCTGTCAAACTGATCTTCCAAAAGCACAGTTCTGACCGCTTCAGGATAAATTTCAGTGGCTCCCTATCATCTCCAGGATCAAATACAAAATCCTTCTTCTTGGTGTTCAATGTCCCCTCCCACCTTTTCAGCCACCATGTACTCTCTGATCCACTGACATTGACTTGACCTCCTTGCTATTCCACAAACAAGACATTCCACCTTCTGGTTCCTTGAATTTTCTCTGACTGTCCACCCTGCCTGGAATGCTCTCCCTCCTCTTCTCTGCTTCCTGGTTTTCTATCTTCCTTCAAGTCCCAGTTAAAATCTTACCTCTACAGGAAGCCTATCTCCCTTAATTCTAGTCTTTTTAATAGTAATATTAAAGAA